GGGGGGGGGGGGGGGGCACACTTTCCGTTTATACAAACTTTAATACCCTTTGACAAAGGATACTCCAGGTAAAATTTTGATAAAATCTCTCTAATGGTACAGACATAGAAAAGATTTACCTAAAATACCCATATTGGGCCCCACCCCTCTGCACCCAGAGAAGCCATATGTTCAGTTTATACAAAACTGAACCCGTTTGCGCATGGATGCTCCCGGCCAAATTTGGATAAAATACCTTAATCGTACAAAAGAAGGACTTCGAAGATTTAAACTTAAATTTTCCTATTTGGCCCCGCCCCTCTGTACCCAGAGGGACCATACCTTCTGTTTATACAAAATTGAGTTCCCTTTGCCAAAGGAGGCCCCTGGCCAAATAAAGATATATTACCTCAAATAGTAAAGAAGAGGAAGAATTTTGAAAATTCATACCTTAAATTGCTCTGCAGAGGGGCCACACCCTCCGTTTATACAAAATTGTATCTTCTTTGCCAAAGGATGCTCTTGGCCAAATAAGGATATAACACCTCAAACGGTACAGAAGATAAAGGCATTTAAAGAAGACTTACCCCAATTTCAACCTATTGGTCCCCGCCCCTCTGCACCCAGACGGGTCACACCCTCCGTTTATACAAAATTTAGTCCATGTTGCCCAAGGATGCTCCAGGACAAATTTGGATAAAATACCTTAATGATATGGACGAAGAAGGACTTCGAAGATTTTAACCTCAATTTCCTCTATTGGGTCCCGCCCCTCTGTACACGGAGGGGCCATACCCTTATTTTATACAAAATTTAGTACCGTTTGACCAAGGATGCTCTAAACCAAATCAGGATGAAATCCCCTTTTCCTATGGAAGAAGAATGATTGTCAAGGTCTAACTCTATATCCTCTGCCACAAGGGAGCAATACCCACAGCTTATACAGAATTGAGTCCCCTTTGCCTAAGGATGCTTCAGACTAAATTAGGATAAAATATCCTTATCCCTACGCTAGAGGAAGATTTTAAAGTTTTACATATATTTCCCCTTTTGGGCCCCTTTTCTCTGCCTCAAAGGGGGGTGGGGGCACTCCCACCGTTAATACAAAATTGAGTGCCTTTTGCCTAAGGATGTTCAAGACCAAATTGGGACGAAAGCCCTTAATCTTTATGGTAGAAGAATACTTTTAAAGGTTTACCTCTTTTTCCCCTAATGGGCCCCGCTTTTCTGTCCCCAGTGGGGCAACAACCACCTTTTTAACAAAATTGAGTGCCCTTGGCGCATGGATGCTCAAGACCAAATTTAGTTAAAATCCACTAAGCCGTTTAGGACGAGTAGCGTTTTAAAGGAAAAGTTGACGGACGGACGGACGGACGGACGCTGCGCCATGGCATAAGCTCACTTGCCCTTCGGGCAGGTGAGCTAAAAATAATGTTTAACACCTGAAATGGTTGTACTGAGCATGCTATTCAGAGCGATCTCATGAAGTAAAGATATAGAGGATATTGAATGGTTTTTCATTGAATACCATTTATATTTCACAAAATATGTTTGCCAGTGCGAGGAACAAATGAAAATATTTGTATGTTCTGCTATACAATTCGCTTCAATGAATGGTATAAATTGTGTCATTAAATTAATTCCTTTGTGAATGTAACAAAGATGTATCAAAACAACCACTTATTCTACAGTCGCTTCATCATTATATGAAAAGAAAATATACAGCTATAAATGAAGTGATTAGGATCGATGCCAAAGTGATATTTTCACAAAGATACAATATTACTTTTGATATCTTTCTATAAATTTTATCAAGTTGATATAATTTGATATTTCACTTGCAAAAATGAAACAATATATTTTAATTTATATAGATTTTCACTGTATAAATAATTTGATAATTTTTATATTTCATATTGATATTAAAAAGCAAATCACACTAAACAACAATATTGATTATTGCTTGAAAGCACTACCTGATGGACATGTATGAAAGAAATATCAGAAAAGGAACATAAAAGAGCATCTAACGTAATGAGTGTCAAAACTCGAATTCCGTACCTTAATATCCAACAACGGTGCGATCCATACACCTGTGTATGATTTCCAATAGGTAAACGTAATGTGTGGGTATCCGTTAGAAACGTTTATGATATGATTTAATATACTTACTCATCAAATTGAAGGCGGTTACCTGCCTCTAATTGAAGTTTTAATTCACCTTCTGTTCCAACCAACATCACACCCTATTTTAAAATATCGACAATGTTTCAGCAGTACTTATAGAAAGCATAACATCGCTACAGAAAATGCAACTACAACATAGTAAATATAAAATACGGTAAAATGCATATGAACACATAACAACCAGACTTTCCCTAGTTATATAACCTTTCACTGGTCCCTTGGAAATATTATGTTTGTACATTTAAAACACGCGCATTTTTAATTCAAATACTAGAAATAAGGGCATACATATCGAATATTCAAGAAATGTTATAGATTAATAGAATCCATCCCTGATGTGTGGTATGGATAAGGGTATTCAAACCCAAGGGATAAAATATTGAGCAGGAAACCCGATTTCTAAAAGGTCAAAGCCAGAGGTTCCGGCGCACAAGATCCTACCTTGACTAGCGCAGCCGTTAATCCAATGAATAGCATGATAAACTGGAACACATCGGTCCAGACGACACTTTTGATTCCTCCCTGTCAAATGAAATTGAAGCTTGCTTATATGCCTCATACTCATGTTATATGTAGATAAACAACATAGTTATCATTTTAATAACAAGAAAATGCATTTGATCGTCATTTTAATGCAACTAAAGAAACATAATTATAATAAATCAATGAAAAAATTGAAAGAAACTTATACAATGAAGTAAATAGTTCAAATTTTGAGAGGAAAATGTAAATCCTACGTAATCTATCGTGGATGCAAATTAATAAAATAAAAAACCCGGAGAATCATGACACGAAACGCTAATGCTATTGATAAATACTAACTTCAAATGGACAATTAGACAAATCAATCATAAATATATGATATATGAAATTCGTGTATTAATGACCCTTACAATCGAAGTATAAAACGTTCCAATAGCTCCAATAACAACTACCGACAGCCAAAGCGGAAAACCAGCCACTAGAATAAAGAAATGAAATATTAGTATGTTAAAAAATCTATAATTCTTGATATTGCCTGTTATTGTGACAAACATTTGCTGTTTAATCATAAATAATCGCCACTGACAATGGGGGTTACATACTAGTAACAGAACGAAATATCGCCCTAGTTGAGCAATTATCACCGTTTCCACGTTATTCACGCTGAGTTTGAGGAACTTAGATAACATTTTTTTTCAATAAGCTATGGTACATGCTAAAACAACTGCTGTACTGAACAAACAAATCGGAAGTGTAGTGCCAAATATAGCCTCCAATAACCCCAAAAAAATACTTGAGAAGAATTCATCTCTGGCCAAATATAGCATACCGGCTTGGTATGTCTATTTATTACAGCATGTTATAGACAACAACCGGATTTGCCTAAATATCAACAGAACATTCATTCAAATAAGGATATGCGCGAATCTATGATTAAGGAAGGATGTTGTGTGTTGTACTTTGCCATCATTTTTTTAATTTTGAGAACTTACTGTACTTTGTGTGAATAGCATTACCTGTTTGAAGTGCCAGAGCAGGTGCGTATAATGTCACCCCCATATAAGCCATCTGAAATACGATGTTTTCACTTGACAAATCTTTAATATGGGTCATTGATGATAACTGATTTAAAGCAAATATCATAAACATAAAAAGAACAAATGTAGGCTTGAAATAAGCGTAATACCACTCATCTGTGTTCATCAGACATATCAAGTTGCTGCGAATGGATATATTTCAATCGGACTGCAGTACGTCCATGTATTCAATGCAGTATCACATTGGAGACGCCAGATGAGCACATATGTGTGGCATTGTCTAGTTACCACATTTGTTCCCTGAATGAACGGTAAGCTTGCACCCTGCAGATTTACTATCAATTTTTATCCTATGAAATTACTGTCAGATACATATTTGATAAATAAATCCCCTACAATTAGAATCAGATCTCACCCATGCATATGAGAGAATTGAATTATATCAGTCGTATTTTTTATATCTCTTACCGTTTGCAGCATCCCAATCAATGTTCCAAGGATTCTGACTCCTCTAGAACGGAAACGTAACTGCAAATACTGAACAAATTGTTACTGATTAAATTAGATGTATTACTGAAAATTAGCACCATCTGTTCAGTTTCATTCTTGATAGATCAAATATCGCCACTTTCATATTCACCAGAAAGAAATATTAAAACAAATAATGACTTTAGTTGAGGTGATTATGTGGTTCAATTAACCTGAAAGGGATTTCAACCACATGTTCACCCAAATAAAAGTCCTTATTTGAACGTTATGAAAACGTGACGAGAAAAGTACTGCATTTGGCAGAAGGTATTTCGACGTTTCAATTGGTTTCTAAAAATAGTAAATCTGAGTCACTATCACAAATCACCGATCTCCACGTTTGTTTGTATGGGGTTTAACGTTCTCTCAACAGCACGGGTCATATGAGGACGGGTAAATAATTAGGTTATGATCCAACCAATGAGAATGTAGAAATAAGATTTCATCACATATAAACATATATGGCATGGTAAGGTAAAACGATGTAAAATAAACATTTAACCAATAATATATCCGAGGCTGGAATACCTAACACGATATACCTGAAAAGTTGACACAATGTCGGAACTCAAATGCTGTAAAACAATAAATAAAATGAGAGAAAGAAAATCAAACCAATAATGAGTAAAGTAAAGACAAATCGTTCATTATTAAACATACAGTTAGAAAGGATCCATATTTCAGAAGATGGATTATAGAAGTTTGAGCTAATCAAATAAGGACAAAGATTGCCTCGTATGTTTCACAGTCAATATAGATTGTTACACTATTGAACAACATATTCTTTTAATATATCTATACATATTTCCTACACAGGCAAAAATGATTGGAACAAATATTATTTGTTGGGAGGTGGTAAACGTTTGTAATGAAAACCTTTTTCGTAGAAAACCATTAAATGCAACAGATATTTGTTCAGTGCTTCACATTCTGTCTAACTCATCTATCGCATATATAATGTCCACCTACTCAGCCATTTGCCAGTAAAAGTACACTCATTGAACAATCATTTATACTTGAATAGTTTATAATATACAATTATGTTAATGTGTAGGTTTCATTCCTATCACGTTTGAAGATATGAAGAATTAATTAAACAATGTAGGATAGTATCTGGTTAAGGTAAGTTATGGTAATTAAACTATGTAGGATAGTATCTGATTAGGTTAGTTATGGTAATTAAACTATGTAGGATAGTATCTGATTTAGGTAAGTTATGGTAATGCATGTAACGAACAACCTAATTTATTGGTGAACTTTTTGACCCAAACAAATAAACTCATGAATCATGACCCTTTGGTTTACAAAGGAAAGAGTTGTCAAACCGAACTAAGTAAAGTAACCGGTTACGTGAACAATATTCCGACCAAGTAACCGGATTAATCGGCAATTTTGGTACAAAACAACACCCTAGCATGTCAGCCTGAACATTAATTTTCCTATAAATACAAAAAAAATCAAATTCATCGACAAATCATTGTGAAGGTAAAATGCCAGGCAAAGATATGGCTAGCCCGGGAATAAATAAATGTCCCACTATATATTCGGGTATTGATTTCGGTAACCGGTTGTCAGCTTTCGACCGAGTAACCGGTCAATCTACGAATCTGGACAACCCCAGTAAAGATACATCAACATGTGGTATACTCACGTGTCTGTTATTTGTGCACAAATACAACTTAAATTCTAATTATGACATTAAACGACTTAAAAGATGTACCCTTGATTAATACACATTTGTGCACAAGTGTATTTAACATGATGAAACTGTTAAAAACAATAAACCTAGCGATTTATATCTCGAATTTTTTTCTTCATTCAATGTTAACACATAAATACTGCTGCGTGAATCTATTAAACGTATTAGAATACATTGTGTGTATATAAGTAGATGCCAACAAACGTTAACATATCAATCGCGTTCTGTTAAGGTGGTAAAAACTGTCATGAGTCTAGAGACAAATGTGTTTTAAGACCAACTGAGGTCTATAATCCATGAACATAATACAAAACATAATTCAATCCTCATACTGTATTAACATTCAGTATGAGTATGATATTTGTGTATGATTTCTATACTATTCGGCTTCTACATATCTAATAGATCGAAAGATGCAGAAGCATGTGACGTCATCACTTGCTGTGTGACGTCGTCAAGGTAAGATGAACATTCATGTTTGTTTCAATCTAAAACTTCTGAAAACAAAAACAATTTGAAAATAATCTGTGCATGGAACAACCGTCTGTAGTAAGACTGGCATATCTCCGCCACGACTGGAACACTATTTTCGACAATGTCAGAGTATGAACGCATTTTTTTTAAATTTTAAACGTGCATTAGGAAATACATATGTAAGCAACTAACGTTGATATCTATATCATATTCATTTAATGCTGATTTCATTCGACTTCAGACTTTATCAAAACGACAAATTATCGACATACTAAACGATATACGGTAATAATGTTGACACCAAAATGTGTCTGTATAAGGTTTAATTTTATCATATAGTGAACACAAATAAATTCAATATTATCACTGCATCCTAAAAGGATAAAAGTTTGAATTCCTATACCTCATATGTGCTGGTAAGTTTTAGTTCGTAGAGCATTGGAACCACTGTAACTCCAGCTATCCACACAGACAGCAGGAAGCCAATCACAGTGTACATATACATGGTACCATAGACATAGATCTCGGCAGGGATTCCCATCAAGGAAATGGCGGAGGCAAATGTAACGAAGAGAGACATCGAAACAGGTACCATAAGCAACTTCCGGTTACCAAATAAATAGCTTTCCAGTGTTTTTTGTTTGTCAGTTCGGTAACCATAGAAAACTCCAATCCCCATACAGATGAATAAGAACACTCCTATTACAACATAATCTGCCAGGTGAGGGCTGGGAAGAGGCTGGAACTTCATTGTTGTGAAACACAAAAGCGTGTGTAATACTTCAATGACTTGTTTGCTACGACAACACCGGAGGAATGAGTCCGAAAACAGTGAATACACAAACCGTGTTTTTGCATTTCTTAGCTTTTATAGGAACATTACCTGGTATCCTTTTTCGAAAAAGCTAAGCTGCTATTGGTGACATGTTCTTATTTATTTCATGTAGATATATATTTAAATATATTTTGGGGATTTTAGTCTATGTTTGAACACTTTAAACACGTTCTTGTACCATACTTGTTTATATCATATGCCTTCACTATGTTTTTATCAAGCTGACTATGTAAGTAACATTTAGACGCAACAATGTCTAGCAGCATTAATGACCAGTCACGTAGTCAATGTTACAAATGTACCTTACCTATATACACAAGTCATTAATAAACGGACTTTCTAGTACTATGTATAAAGTGTCAAACAGTAACAAACGTTAAACTTTTCTGACCATAAAATTGCGACTCATTTCGTTGAGAATTAATAATGAAAATAATAATGTTAGGTTCTTATATACCGCTTTATTACAACCTAAGTCGTGTCAATGCGGTTCACTAATTATTATCCATGGTTATTGGGCCTTTGCAACAAGTCAATATCATTCTCAACTCCCTGGGGAACATACAGCTGGTGCTGTCATTTAGGCGCTCATAGATAGCATTCAAAAATCCCAGCACTACTCAACCACATACTCATTTGGATACATCACAGTGCCATGGCGGGATTCGAACCTGCGACCCTTCGGTCACGAGACCGACGTCCTATCACTAGACTACGTGTCTCTGTAGACATGTTGCCGTGAACCCAATTATTTAACTGAATCCATAATGCACAACTGTCATGCAGAATATTTTCACAGGTTAACAAATCATTATTTTGGTCGTAGACATAGATGTTTTAAAACCTCATATGAAGATAGCAAAGACACAGAAATAAGGTAATTTCAATAGTTCTTTATTACTACTTATCTTTATAGTTTTGAGCAACTATACCATGAGACAGTCATCATCCTATCATATAAATAGGAATGGTAACTGAATTGCGTTTTATTGTAGAGTTTGAGCAATTCTGGTTGCCAGTTCATCAGATTATCTTCGCTAATCTAACACTATATCAATTCTGTTCACATTTGTCCAATTTTGCTGAATGTCTCTGAGCTACAACGGCGGACCGTCTTCGATGACAGTTTAAAAATAGCAAACAAGCATTTTAGAGAAAACCTTCATATCTGGTATTCATAGTGTTATAAATGCCATTTTCATTTTATGGACTTGAGAAGAACAAGAAACAAAAATGTTAACGATTTCTGGGCATAAATTAACAGATGTAATAAATATAATCATAGAACAAACATATAAAATTATCTTTTATAAAAAAAATATCATACCTGTTGAATCTTGTTATAGTCATTCAAGCAATTTTCAGACCATGAAAAAACCCGTTCTGTATTGCACATGTGCAATACGGAATGTTGTATTTACCTGCTAGCCGGAACTACTTTTTATGGGAATCCCCTTGTCATGGCGAACTGAAAAGTTCCCGGTATTTTCTAAAAATATCAAAGTTTATAAAATCATTGTATCGATCTTTACCAAATACGGAAGGTATGTGATAAAAGCAATACCACACACTTGAGTTTTTCTAACGAATCAGAAAGCACTCATTTATTGCGCGGACGTATATATTCGTCCAAGCAATAAATGAGTGCTTTCTGATTCGTTAGAAAAACACAAGTGTGTGGTCTTGCATACTTATTCAACAGCCAGTGCCATATCTTTTAAGGGTGAATTATTATAGTATTCAATGGAGGTTAAATTAAAAACAAACAGGTTTGAACAAGATAATACTTGATCAGACACTGAACGTACAGGTAAATCGCTTTGGGTTGACTATAAATCATCTACGTCTTCACATCCTTGTTTATTGAAGTTCACAATTATTTTTGACATTGATATGTTACTGTGTGTCTCACAAAGGTGAAGTTATTAATCAGGTAGATTTCCAATGGTTCCGAGTTTACGTCCTGAATAAGGAAAAGTAAATTTTTCGTTCAAATCCGGTAAAATAAGCTTCGCTCATGTAAAATAGGCATGCTTGTTACTCTGTTTGTACTGATCGCCATGCGTATGCATATAATTATAGAAGTACATTAACTCGTATGTCAAATATTGACTTTGTTGTCCCAAACTGTCAACAGAACTTTGAACAAACACCACACATGTTTATAGATCAGAAGGTTGAAAACGTTACCCATCATGCATGTTTTGTATTGTATTTATTGTAAACATATCAATGAGTTATATATCACAACACATTGATTATATAGCGTAAGTTACAATTTTCAAAAAATATGAACAACAGCAAGGTAACCAAGAAGTGCTAAAGAAAACGGATTGTAAATGATGTATTAACTTTTTGCAAGTAATAGCCTTCCTGTGTCAGGTTATGCAGATTCCACTTCTTTTCTTCAAGGCAAAGAATCAAACGGCATGTGTCTCGACCCTAAACCGCTTAAAACAACTCACTAAACCACACTGTACCGAGTGAAGAAATTCAGCTGTCGGAAAATATCGACACCGTTCGTCCATAAAGCACTCTAATTATGAAGGAAGTCAGGAGGCGGGTAAGTATTTTATCAGGTTTTACGGTGGCTCTTTCGGAAAAAATACTGACGATCTGATGTTTTTACTATCCTAAGCAGCTCAATACAGCATATTATTGTCATACTATTTGTCATAGTATATGTCATAGTATATGACACTTTAAAATGTTATGCAGGTTAACTGTAATTGTGTTGAAAAAATATGTAAATATATGTGAACTTTTAAAATGTCGTGTAGACTTAAGGCGTGTCAGGATTAGTAATGAACAGCCAATAACATGAAGCCATCACCAAACAGTACACATCGATGACTTCTCGTATTATTGGATCCTTTGAGCGTAAAATGTAAGATAATGAAAAATGGTGATCTATATTACCTTGATGTAAAACATGACAGGAAATTGTCTTTGTGTTCATAAACCTCAATTGGTAGTCAATATTTTATGATGATTGAATGTGTGTTGGCCCTATTTTTTACCGTTGTATTAGTGTCAAACATGTATTTATATACCATAAATGCATATAAATGTCTAACGTACCAATCTAAAGTAGTAGATTTGAAATCATGTAAATTGTTTTCATTATCATAAAAAGCACTATCGAGATCATTATGTCATTGTTGTATCTATATAAAAAAAAACCGATTCGTTCTTTGACAAAGACATAAAAAAATTAACGTAAAGCTGGATCGTTGCATTAATGTTGGTTTAGATAAAAAAAAAATACTACTGTTTTATTGGAAAGTTCAGCGAATATACGCCCGGTAGAAATATTGATACAATAGTTTTTAACATGATATTTTTACGTTTGGTCAATTTGTTCTTAATTTTAGGATCAGGATTGTTTGCAGTGTCAAACACAGAATTTCGTTCATCTTTTTTTTTATTCTTGTCATGCGAAGTATCATTCATGTGAAAATCCGATGAAAAAAAATCTTACTGCAGTTGTGACCATTTATGTAAATATTACGATGACTGCTGTTTCAATGCAGACGGATTATCCGATGAAAGAACAGAATCAGATAAATTGACAATTCCTTACATTGAGGAGACTTCTTGTGAACACATCGCCTTTAACGAAATACCTACAAATCAAGAGGGAGCGTTCATGGTGTCATCCTGCCCGGCGTCATGGAGAGGTGATAATGACGTCAAGTATAAATGTGAACAGCAGGATATCGACAAAGGCTTCTTAGACTTGGTACCCGTGTTTGACATCGGTACCAATGTAACATTCAACAACCGTCAATGTGCATTATGTCATAATGTAAATAACTGGATACCATGGTTAGTCAAATTTACATGTGTCCTCGGATTTTATCAATACCACACTCCTTCTGCATCTCTTTCATTCCAGGATGAAATGGAGTTGAGAACAAAAAGTGAAGCCTGTAGGTACGGATTTGAGCCGTCTAACGATATCAAAGTACGGTATTGTTTCCATGAACTTGAGTACACACCATGGAAAGCATTGAAAGAGGTGAACAGCACAGCTTGTAAAAACCGCGCTCTAGCACCTTTTGTGATTCTTACCACGGACACTGGATGGAAGTCCTTCAGAAACGTTCAATGTTACATTGAAGAATTTATTTTAACTTACTCGGATAAAGAAGCAAAATGTTTTCTGATATCTTCAAACGGACACTCAGTCAGCCCTACTGAAACAATCAGCAGTCTGATAGACATTACCGCCTTGTTCTCATCACACAGAAGTATCAAACTTTGTAGTGAAACAGACATATACCTCTCTGAAAAGGTAAGAATACGTTTGATGATCGATAAATAAACTCTTAATATTCTTTCACGCCAAATATATGAGCCCTATTTTTCAATCATTAAGAGATCCAAATAGCATTATTTTATAGGGAAACAATCAGGTCACAAGATAAAAAGTTCAAAATACTTTCGATAACCTGATGGTTCAATATAAACCATCCATCACACACAAAATTAACCTTTTATGGAAATGGCATCCCTCATTAATGAAAACTTCAATTTCTCTAGGTTGTGATGTTCACTTTTTGATGAAATTGCTATTGTTTATAAATTCAGAAAAAAACGTTGTGTACTGAATTGAATAATTAATAAATTAAAGAAAGAAAATTTCCTAATGACATTTTTGTGGTACAGGTTATTAGAAAAGTTGCAGACGAGTCAGGTAGGTTATCAACACAAATAAGGTACAAATAGTTGTTACGGTTTTCTGTTTAGAGACAGTGCAGACATGATGTTATTTACATCTTCACTTTTCTTTTGAAATCAGATTGGATGCAAGCCTCTGTACTGCCCCGCTAACATGGAACCATTTGATGGCAGATGTACTGCCCTTACATACAAATCGAGAGGAGTAATGCTAGACCTTCTATTTGAAATCAACAGCGTTGTACATGTCGGGAAGATATTTATTCAAAGTATTGCAATACTAATAGAAACATTAAC